AATTGATAGTGTTGATGCATCATCTTTTTTTCCCATAACTTAACAGTGAGAATAGAAGGACTTTGGGACACAAATGTAAATTTTGGCAGGGTAGGAGTCATCTTCAGCTAAGACTGTTTCATTTTTTTTGAATGGTGGTTGGCCTTTAGAATGGGTTGCCTTCAGATGTTGTAGAGACAGTAAATTTAAGTGTGTTTAAGAAAAACTTTGATAAGTATATGAATGATAAGGGCTAGCTTTAAGATTTTTTGTTTTAATATTTTAATTTAGATAATGGAACAGCCGAGATGGACCAATAGGTCCCATGTTTTCCCAAAACATCATGTTATATTATGTTAATTTATTAGTAATCACTAGCAAGTTGAAAATAACTTACTCAAATCAGAAGATAACTATTGTGCCCCAATAACGATTATGTTAACTTATGAGTTTAACAATATGACATCAAATGAATGATACTTGAATTATCCTAAAATAATAAATCAGAACACAGCAAAATGAGACAATAAACTGGTTGTATACATATGTGCAATCTCGTGTGATGTGGACGGTTGAGTTCAATTATTCAAACCAAAGTATATGTTTAATATTCAATGATAAAACTTGCACAAAATAGGCAGGTTAAGTTTAGGATACCAAAGATATAGAAAAAATACAGTAACATTCTTGTGTTCATATGCAAGCTAAATATTATTATCTAAAAAATGTCTTAGTGCAACATGTCATCACTTCTTTTATAAAATGATGTTTACCTAAGAATGAATGCATATAAAAACAACAAAAACTGTAGCTTGTTCAGTTAGTTTTATACAAATGTAGTCACAGTGCTGTTTGATTAGGTTAAACATTACATACAATTAAAAATAATACTAGGAGACTTAATTGTAATTTAACATTCTATAATCTTATTACCATTAGGAAACTTGAAACTTTACTTATAAAAACCATAGATAAAAACCTTTGTAAGATTCCTTATTCAGTCATAATTGCCATCTTGGATTCTTTTGTTCAACTGGTGAGTAAAGCGTCTACTGTGAGGATACATTTGTTCAATTGGTAAGTAAGTAAAGCGTCTACTGTGAGGATACATTTGTTCAATTGGTAAGTAAGTAAAGCATCTACTGTGAGGATACATTTGTTCAATTGGTAAGTAAGTAAAGCATCTACTGTGAGGATACATTTGTTCAATTGGTAAGTAAGTAAAGCATCTACTGTGAGGATACATTTGTTCAATTGGTAAGTAAGTAAAGCAGTCTACTGTGAGGATACATTTGTTCAACTGGTAAGTAAGTAAAGCATCTACTGTGAGGATACATTTGTTCAACTGGTGAGTGAGTAAAGCATCTACTGTGAGGATACATTTGTTCAACTGGTGAGTGAGTAAAGCATCTACTGTGAGAATACATTTGTTCAACTGGTGAGTGAGTAAAGCATCTACTGTGAGAATACATTTGTTCAACTGGTAAATAAGTAAAGCATCTACTGTGAGGATACATTTGTTCAATTGGTAAATAAGTAAAGCATCTACTGTGAGGATACATTTGTTCAATTGGTAAGTAGTAGATGCTTTACTTAAATGTATCCTCACGTTCAACTGGTAAGTAAGTAAAGCATCTACTGTGAGGATACATTTGTTCAACTGGTAAGTAAGTAAAGCATCTACTGTGAGGATACATTTGTTCAACTGGTAAGTAAGTAAAGCATCTACTGTGAGGATACATTTGTTCAACTGGTAAGCAAGTAAAGCATCTACTGTGAGGATACATTTGTTCAACTGGTAAGTAAGCAAGTAAAGCATCTATTGTGAAGATACATTTGTTCAATTAGTAAGTAAGTAAAGCATCTACTGTGAGGATACATTTGTTCAACTAGTAAGTAAGTAAAGCATTTACTGTGAGGATACATTTGTTCAATTGGTAAGTAAGTAAAGCATCTACTGTGAAGATACATTTGTTCATCTGGTAAGTAAAGCGTCTACTGTGAATATACATTTGTTCAACTGGTAACTACGTAAAGCGTCTACTGTGAGGATACATTTGTTCAACTGGTAACTAAGTAAAGCATCTACTGTGAGGATACATTTGTTCAATTGGTAAGTAAGTAAAGCGTCTACTGTGAGGATACAGTTGTTCAACTGGTAAGTAAAGTGTCTACTGTGAAGATACATTTGTTCAATTCTTACATTACTAAATGATCTGCATAATTCTTTTGGCCAACTTGCAAGTCAGTCAAGAGTCTACTGTGAAGATTTTTTTGGTCAACTGGTAAGTCATTAAAGCTTCTACTGTGAGGATTCTTTAGTTCAATGACAAGTTAATAAAGGGCCTACTGTAAACTTTACTTACAGGCTTGGACATAACCCATGTATACTTCTTTTGATCTACAATGTGAAATACAATGATCTGACAAATTGTCATGGTTCAAAACCTCAAACAGTCAAGTACACATCTAAACCATCATATTATTATTCTCACAGAGAACAAGGCTTATGTTGAGTCTTTATTTCACATCCAGGACACAACATAACCTCTGGTTAATAATAAAAGCATAAAAAGGCAAACACCAAACCAAGTATGAACATAGATGGTTTAAACTGTCACTCAGTTCATTTTCATTTCAGAGATGAGTGGACAACTACTGGTAAAAAATGTAATGAATTAGACTTTAAATTATTTTTCATAGAGGCTTAAAATTCAAGCCCTCAACTTTCAATGCACTCTGTTAACAGGTGCTTTACCAAGACACAAATGAATTGTATCCTGACTGTCAAAATATCTTTATAAAATTTTTAAAATGACATATTTCATAAATTAAAAAAAAACAGTACATAAAAGTTAAGAATAAAAATTATTCAAAGTTCCAACAAAGGCTCTAGTAGTAAATCAAAAATTCTAAAATATTTGGTGTCAAGATATCAAGCTTCAGGATAGTAAAAATAACAATCACCTCCTTGTTCCAACTAGCACAGAAGGAAAAGAAATGAGTCGGTTGTCTTCACCACCAGATGTCACTAATGGTGTAGAGCACCAAACCACTAAAGAAAGAGAAGGTGGAATAGAAATATTTTCAGCTTCAGCAGCACTGCATCCACTATCCCCATTTAAGTCTAGATTATCTGTAAGAGTACAAAGACAGAATTCACGTGACGTCTATATACATTTAACACCCAGTGTCTGCAAGTCAGGAAGACATAACTGATGGTTTGCCTACTAAAAAAAAGCTTTCTGGTACATTCTTTCTTTTAATTCTGAGCAGGTATTTGAACTCCTTGTTGATTCAACATCCCAGACAAAACATGGTAAAGGTAATACATGTTGTGCCATACAATATCTGGTTTCTCAGCTATATAAAGCCATTTTCACTGTGGTTTTTAAGAGTTCTGTTGATAGTGATAGCTAAGAAAGATTAAACAAAGCTTACTTGCTACTAAGGTAGCTAAATGTAGAACTTGCCTTAACATGAACAATTTTATTATTTTGTGCATGAAGGTAACAGTCCAGCCAATCCCTTAAACTCCCCATCTTTGTGACTGAACACTATAGAGAAGTAAGTTCTTTTGGCAATGACATGGGTTTTTTTTTAGTTTAACAGACTAAGCCCTTTATCAGAATACATTTTATTTGGTTTTAATTTGAACACCAGAAACTGTGACACTCCCCTGTGGCCAACCAAATCCCTAAATTCTGTCTCATTGACTCATAGATTGGGTGTTAGATACATATATGCAAGTTTGTTTCACATGAAGATTCTATGGTACTTGTAAGTTGTAAATAAAATTACAATCACTACTGACATCAACTGTGCAGTAATACTGCACATTTCTTTAAATTCCACCAACAGAAATATCAAATTAATTATCAGTTGTTGATTAAAGTAGCTGAAGGCTAGTGTGCAGAATCAGAACAATAAAATACATGTCACAACATATTTATAACCTTATACAACTACCAGCTATGGACATGCTATCATGAAACACAGTAAATTTGTTTATACTTTCTTACATTCTCATAATAAGATGATACAAACAAAACACATCAGCAGTTACAAAATGTGTTTTCTCTGAAACTGGTTTATTCTACATCATTGTTTTGATAATATCAATTTTATGGTATAATATCAGATTTATGTTTCAACTGAATGGCACCTTACACAACACAAGAGCTAAATAGCCAGCTCACACAACCTTCAGACAGTAGCATCCATTACCAGGTGGGCTTTGTCCAGCTTTGGACTGAATAATGGGGCTGACTGTCACCCTTATGATGAGCCCACAGCTAAATGTGTGGAGTATGTTCATGTGTAAACCTTGGATCAACCAATCCACAAACCTGCATGGTAGCCACTAGCTAGGCCATGCTTGATCAACAATTTTATAAATTCTCTGGAAAATACAAATCGGGGGTTTTTACCTATGCTCATATTTCACTGGTTTTTTTTTTAATCACCATTCTAGCACATTTTTAGGTATGTGGGTGTGTGCATTTATATTTGTTATGAATAATAATAAACATCGTTTTCTTTAAATACACATGTACAGTGTTAAAATTAAATGCACAAATTTGAAAACTTGATATTTCCGAATATAAGAAAATCATATAGTTTTCAATCAGTTTGTTATACCAAATTGTGATTATTAATATATAGTTCTTTTAAATTATCGTTAAGACTTTACTTGTACTTCTGCTCAGCATAACTAAGTTACAAATAATCTGTGTGTTTGAGCAGTTCTGTACAAAATAAAATTGTCATTTTGTTATAACGTAAACACCTAACCTTTCCAAAAATAAAGTATTCATTTTGTTCCAAAGTGAATTACCTTTTGGCTGCTAAACTTCTACTTCTTGTAAAAAAAAAAAACTTAGATTTTACAGTTCTTTGTCACCGAGTCAGTGAGAGTTACTGTTAGTGTTACACGATACTGATAGAGTAAGGTACACGTGAATAACTATAATGACAATCGTAACGGACGTAACCTCAGTAAAACCACAACCAATTAATATTTTGCAACACACTGGTTTCAAAATGGTATGATGTAATAATACTCACGAAACGAAAATACATGTTTCTATTCATAACAATCCTACGGAGATCATAACATGCAAACACAATATTATCAGGTGGCAAATCAGAAAGCAGCGTTTGTGGCAAACAACTTCGTCAATCACGTGACTTTATCGATCTCAAACCTCACCTCCGCCAATGCAGCTTTTGCCTCTAACTATCCAAAACCAACCCGCAAGGCGTAATATAACGGTACATCACCATACGTCACAGTACTTTTCAGCCTCTACATTACAGCCTCGTAAGCAGAAAGTTGTCCAGCTTGAAATCGAATGAATGCTTACACAGTTGGACTAAAATTCATCAGAATCTTACTATACACAAATAATATGAATTACAATCCTGCAATATATTAAATGTGTATGTTCGATGAATATACTTAATTAAAAAAAAAATTCCTCCACTTGCAGATCAATACTTGATGCGTCTAAAACTGGCTGGAGCCGTCTCGTGCGATGGTAAATTCAAGCACCCTAATGGAGAGGGCACAAAGAGAAGTTATTCAACACAAATCAATACACGAAATATGAAACATCATTTTTCGCTTCCATACACCACTGAAACACTCTTTAATTTTTTATGTGTTTTTCAGATTAAACCAAAAACAAGTGAATGTATGTTATCGGTGGTCATGGTTCTAGCTCTATTTTTAAAGAACGTGAAAAACATTTAAAATTACAACTGCCCCCTAGTAGCTCAGCAGTAAAGGCTGACAACGCCAAAAACTGGGTTTCCACAGCCCATCATGTAGCTTTGTGCTTAACAATAAACAAATAGATTGCAACTACGAAATAGAAATGTTAACAAAAATGTTATTACCAGAGCCAGTATATACGTTGACTCTAATATATATATATAAAAACAAAACAAATGAAAAACAAGCGTGTGCGTATTTAGACTCCCAACGTTCATCCTGAAAATCACACATTAATTGAAACAGTGCGTCTTATACTTCCTTTGTACTGTTGTACTAGCTGTGACCACATCTCACAACAATACACACGGTACTACATTATACATACTCTCTCCAAGAAGCTTTCACGTTATGTTGAACAATTGACATAATTATCATGATAATTATATGCGACGGGAAGAGTTCATTAAACTACGATTATTTACATCAGCTCACTCCTGGTGAGAGGGCGTCTTTATCTTCTGCTATCTTTTATGATTTTTAAGTATCATGAATGAAAGTATATATATATACTATTATAACTTATTATTTTATTATTAGGCGTATGTGCAAGGCGACAAAAAAAGGTGATACAAAAGTCGAGACCCAATATGATTGTTTTATACAACCTGACCTCACAGCTGTTTGATTTGTTTGTTTGAAGTTAAGCACAAAGCTACACAATGGGCTATCTGTACTCTTCCCACCACGGGTATCAAAACCCGGGTTCTAGCGTTCTAAGTCCGGAGACATACCGCTGTGCCACTGAAGGGGGGAGAGGGTGGCAGCTGCTTGAAACATACAGCACTGATATTAGACAAATTGTTCACAAAAAGTTATTGCGAGGTCAATAACATCCCAAACAAGTACCGTGGTAGAGAAGAAGAAGAAACGATTAGTGGAATGCTTACTTGACTGAAAAGAATCACAGTCAGAAAGATACTTTTTTTTTCTTGGTAGTATACGATTTTTGCATCAGACTGTAGAATATATTTTTAAAATCCACAAATAAAATATGAAACAAATACCTTGAGCCTGTAGGTATATTCAAACCATGAAACTAAACAGTGGGAAAAAGACTGAACGCACTTTACAAAACTGGTGTTCCAGGTAGCCCTTTGAATTACTTCCTCAACCATCGATCATGGGCAATCAGACGAGTATGGTAACGTTTTATTGCCCGACACCGCACTTTCATTTTATAAGACCTTCTGCAAAGGAAAACAAGGTCAGTCTTGACCAGAACTATGCCTGTCGTATCTCAACCGGCCTAATGAGCACTGGTACTGAACGAAGGGTCTTGTCAGCATTGGATATAGCTGAGACGATGTGGTTGACAAATTATAACTTATTTCGCTCAAAGGTTCTTAGACTAATATTTTCTCTAGTTAACGCTGTGGTTGCTTGACCCGTTCTAGATATTGTTGTAGTTAAGCGCAGAGCTACACAATAGGTTATCTGTGCTCTTCCTGCCACGGGTATCGAAACCCGATTTTGAGAATCGTAAGCCTTCAGACATACCGATAAGCCACGGGAGGACCTCGTTCCAGGAACAAAAAAGATTAGTTTGTTGGTTCACCAGTTATTTTGAATGTTAGTGAAGTTAATCAAAGTGAAAAAAAAATTGGTGTTAGAATAAAATTATATCGTTCTGTTAATCCTTTCCTTAATTCTGATTTCTAAATTATCTAAATAAAATTAATAATATCTACACTTCACTTACATATTCTAGTCTACACCACAACAGTTTTGTACATGTCCACCACGGGTATCGAAACCCGGTTTCTAGCGGTATAAGTCCTCAGACATACCACTATGCCACTGGGGGACAAATAGCTCTTGGATTACTGCTATGTCTGTCATATACCAGCCAGTCTAATGATCCCTGGTGTTGTGTGAAAGGTCTCATCGACATTGAATATAACAGATACAGAGTAGTTGACATATTGTCACATGTGGTTTGGCTTCACTCATAGGATCTTTGAATTACATCATACATTTGGACAAATTGTCCTCGTGGACTTCAGCTTCCGTTAATTCCCCAAATCCTTGGTTTCCGCGCTCTAGCTTTTAACCATTGAAAAGTAAGAGCTGTTTATCAGGCTACGTATACATCTTCTGTCATAAAAAGTCAGACAAATGTATTAGCAAATATTATATTCGGTTGTTTAATATCACCAACAGTATCAGCAAATAATCACTAAACTCGGTTGTGACTAATTTCACCGAAACACAAGCGGCCTTGCAATGGATATTGATAAAGCAGGAAGAGGCTGGTCCCGCTCCTTCGAGTAATGATGCACAATCATGGCCATCAGACTGGAATATTGATTTTATAAAAAGCGATTAACCTGGTGTTCTGATAACAATAGTTCTAATGTAAGCCATGGCATGGCCAGGTGGTTAGGGCACTCGACTCGCAATCTGCGGGTCGTTGTTTCGAATCTCCGTCCCACCAAACATGCTCGCTCTTTCAGCCGCGAGGGCGTTATAATGTTATGGTCAATCCCACTATTC